ATCACCTAAATTTAGCAGTCAACATTGTGCACCTTTTCTTTATTATTTTTTTAGGGATTTGAAAATCACAGACATTATGGCATTTCACACTTAAAAGCTTCAGTGGAAATCTCCCCAGACTTTTCCTGTGTAGCCAGTGTCATTATCGTACCATAGTAGTTTGTTAGGGCTGGCATAACACTCACAGATACCACAGACTGTGTGGTTTAAACAACAGAACTTTATTTTCTCACCGTTCTGGAGGCTGGAAGGCCAAGATCAAGGTGTGGGCAGGTTTGGTTTCTTCTGAGGCTTCTCTCCTTGGTTTGTAGGAGATGATTTAAAAGAATATAAACATTTGGTTAAATATATGATTTAAAAGAATATATTACATATATTGATTCAAGAATTCATTCATTCAAGAATATATATATTTATATGTTATGTATATACATAAATCATGATTTAAAATCAATTGTATTTATAGTTCAAATTCAAATTTAATAGTACAGAGGTTTATTTAATTATTTGAATGTATACTTCTACTTCCTCTTATGCTGAAAAGTTTGGTTTCGAACAACATTAATATAATTACCTATTTGTTATATTGTTTTTTCAAAATAATGAGAAAACTGAATGACTGGAATATATTTGTTTATCCTAGAATATATCCCACTAAGGAAACACAAAGTGCTAAGTTTTAAACTCAGTTAACTGTTTTCTCTGTGTAGTTATGCTGTTCATTTTAGATGCAATTAGATTAATTTGTTTCTTTATTCCTTCAATTTTAGGGATGGCCTTTCTTTCACTTTTGTTTTATATAATATGTATTTTTAGATATGTAAAACATTGACACCCTAGAAATTAAATGCTGTACCCAAAGAAGTTTCTCTTCCATCCCAATCCCCCCTCTATCCCGTCCCTCTTCTGCCATCTAACATTAACTAATTTAAAACATTGAGTTCTGATTAATTCTTAACAGTGTTCCTTATTACAAACATAGGCAAAATTGTGCTCATATTCTCATTCCCCTTTACCCCTTCCCATGAGGTTTGCATATTATACACATTTTTGGGCACCATACCTTTTCATTTAAGTCTTCTGGAGATCACTCCATGTTAATATATCAAGATTACTCTCATTCTCTTCATGGTTGCCCAGTTATGCCTCACATGAGGGTGCCAGAGTTTATTCAATAAGGAACTGGGTGTCACAGTTTATTCAACAAGATTGATAGACATTTGAGTCATTTCATGTTTTTTTTGCTAGTACACGTAATGCGTCAATGAGTAATGTTTTGCATATGTCATTTCACATTTGTTTTTCTAAAATTATTTTAATGTTTATTTATTTTTGAGAAAGAGAGACAGAGACGAATATGGGGGAGGGGCAGAGAGAGAGGGAGACACAGAATCTGAAGCAGCTCTAGGTTCGGAGCTGTCAGCACAGAGCCCAAAGTGGGGCTCAAACTCACGAACTGTGAGACCATGACCTGAGCTGAAGTCAGACACTTAACTGACTGAACCACCCAGGAGCCCCTGTCATTTCATATTTGTGAAGTTATATCCTTAGAATAGATTTCCAGAAGTAGGATTCCCAGGTCCTTGATAGATACTGACAAATTCTCCTCCAAAGGAATGATGTCATTTCATATTCCCAACAGCATTCTATGGCAAGACTTGCTTCCCCACAGCCTCACTACTAGAGTGTATTGTTACAGTCCTGGCGTTAGCCAATCTGGTGGGGGAGACTTGGTATCCCAGTGTTGTTTTAATGCACATCTCTCTCTTTACAACGGGGGTTGAAGAAGTTTCCATATGTTTAAGGAACATTTGTATTTCTCTTGCTATAAACCATCAGTTCGTGTATTTTGGCATGTTCAGGGTGGTTGGTCTTTTTCTTTTTTGATTTCCAGGAACTCTTTATGTTAAAGAGATGAATCATTTGGCTGTGAAATAAGTTCCAAATATTTGTTCCTAGTTTGTCATTTGTCTTTTCACCCCTATGACTTTTTAGTGCAAAAATCTTTTTTTTTTTTTTTAAATATGTACTCATGGGTACCTGGGTAGCTCAGTGGGTGAAGCGTTGGAATCTTGATTTTGGGTCAGGTCATGATCTCATGAGTTCATGAGTTTGAGCCCTGCATTGGGCTCTGCACTGACAGTGAGGTGCCTGCTTGGGATTCTCTCTGCCTCGCTTTCTATGCCCCTCCCCTGCTTGTGCGCGCTCTCTCTCTCTCTCAAAAAAAAAAAAAATATGTAGTCAAATTCCTCACCACGTTGTATTTATAGATTCCAGATTTTGAGTCACAGTTAAAAAGGTTGTCTCCACTTCCAGGTTTCAAAGGAATTCACAGATGTTTTCTTTTACTATATGTATGGTTTCATTTAAAATTTTATTTGAATAGCTGATTCATTATGGAAAGTTTTCTTTGTATGGCTTTTGCACATTTCTTGTTAAATTTATTCCTAAATATTCTTTCTTTTCTTTTCTTTTTTCTTTTTTTTTTGCTGCTATTGTAAATGTGGATTCTCTCCCAAATATCTTACAACTGGTTGATGATTGTATATAGGAAAACTATTTGTTTATTTATATTAATTTTATATCCTGCCAATTTAACAGAATTCTACTGTTTATGGTATTTTTCCCATTGATTCTATGGGTTTTCTGCTTATACAAGCCTTGATAACTAGAGATAGTTTTTTATATCTTTATTTCTAATTCTTATGCCTCTAACTGCATCTTTTACTTAATCAAATTAGCTAATACTTTTGATCAGTGGTTAACTAGTTGCAGCAATAGTGAGTACCTTGTCTTATTCCTGACTTTAGTGGGAATACCTCTAGTGTCTTCCCATCAAAACAGATGTTGGCTTTGGATGCCCAGGTGGCTCACTTTGTTGAGTTGGCTCTTGATTTCGCCTCAGGTCATGATTCTGGGGTCATAGGATTGAGCCCAGCATTGGGCTCCATGCTGAGGATGAAGCCAGTTTAGGATTCTCTCTCCCTCTCCCTCTGCCCCTCTCCCCTGTTTGCACTCTCTCTCTCTAAAATGAAAAATTAAAAATAAAAAAGAAGAAGAAGCTTTCTGTGTGGATTTCACTGTCGATCAATTCATTCGCTCAAAAAAAAAAAAAAGATTTTGGTTTTGGGGCTGGTTGTGTGTGTGTGTGTGTGTGTGTGTGTGTGTGTGTGTGTGTGTGTAATTATGTTAAGAAAGAATTTATCGATTTTTATTTTGCTGAATGTTTTTCATGGGATTGAATTTTCTTTTCAGCATCAAAGGAAATGACCATTTGCTTTTTCTATGTGGATATAGTATTTAATATTAATGAATTTTTTTTGGTATTGAATCACCCTGCAATCATGGTATAGACTCCCTGGTCATTGTGTATTTTGCTTAATATGCTTTTGGCATCTGTGTGGCAACTTTTATTTAGAATTTTTCCTTCAATATTCATAAGAGATTAGGATCTGATTTTCTTTTATTGTGTGCAATCTTAATCATTTTTATATCAGTTTGAAATTCACTTCATAGAACTAATTTGGAAGTTTTCTTTTGTGTTGTATGTCTGTGTATTTTCAGTAACATTGAAATGATCTTCTCTCTAAAGGCTTGTTATAGTTCCCCTGTGAAATCATCTAGGCCTGGCATTCTTTTCAGTGGGGGAGGGAGAGCTCTTGATGGTTAGGAGGTTCCTTGAAAGATGTTTCCCTGTACTTCTATCCCTCATCCTATGTGTTTGCAATACTGAGGGCTCCAGGTGACAGGAAGTAGGAAATAAGGCTGCAGGGGTAGAGGATACCTTTCTAAAGGCAGATGAGGTCTGGGGTGGATTGAAAGTATAATCACCTTTAGGGTGGAGAAGGGACAAGAGGGGAGTAATGTCGGAGGGGAGGTGTGGGTGCGCCAGGAAGAGAAGCCAGAGAGGCCCAGGCTGAGGAGAGATCAGCTGCTTCTTCCCAAAGATTTTTTTTCTGACTCTGCATTCCAACCTCTCCTGGGGGGTCTCTGTCCTATTTTCACAGCTGAGAAGGCAAAGGAAGTTTCCCGTAGTCCACAGCCTCTGTCAGGGAGGTTCTCAGAGTCACCTTACCTGAGGGAGCTTAGACTAACAACAGTCAGCAATCCCCTCCCCAAATTCTCCCCATTTGCATTTGTCCTGAGCCAGTTTTAGCCTACAAGTCCTGTGGCTCACAGACTTATTAAAAATCTTGAAGTCATAGACAGGTCTGAGGCAGCTCTCTCAACAAGAGGTTTGGAACAACCACTCCACTGCTCAGATAGCTCTGCTGTGAGATGGCTTTACTTTGGCAAATGGTAGATGGGGGTAGGCTCTTCTGGGTGCCTTGAGAGTCCATGCCACCTTCTTTCCCTTGCTTCCTGTCTCTCAGCTTCCTCAGCCCTCTGTGGACCTGCAGGAGACCCGCCTTGGCCACAATAAGGCCTATCACCAACAGGTGCTGGGGTCTGTGAGATAAAGAGTGGGAGCACTTGGATAGAAAGGTCACCTCCCTGCAGCTTCAGGATGTTGCATTTGATCAAAGACAAGGAAGGGGAGGGAGAGGAAAGTTGTGATATCCCTGAAGCTCCCCACCACTTCTGAACCCAAGGAAAGACTTTGGAGAGGCTGAACCTCACACGCACTGCTGAGAGATTGTTCTGTGCTCCAAATGGTGTTTCCTGAGTACAGGTTGCAGGCCTTGTGGAAAGTGTGACCACTCTCAGTGCCCCCCTCACCCTGTGCTATGATCTCTTCCAGGCCACAGATTTCTAGCTGGAGCTGATGGAGTGGGCGGTGGGTTTGCAGGGCGAGGGAAAGGCTGGGGTGTGCTTTACATTTTAGGCCAGCAGTGGGGCCTGTTTGGGATTCTCTCTCTCCCCTTCTCTCTGCTCCTCCCTCCCTGGGGCTCTCTCTCTCTTTCTCTCTCTCTCAAAATAAATAGATAAAGTTAAAAAAAAAAAAGAGACACTTAAAAAAAGAAACAATTAGAGAAACTCTTTAACCTTTTTTAAAAAACTTAGTCTAAGTTTCTTGGGGTTTCTTATTATATAAGATAGATCCTACCTCTATGGCTTTCACCCATCCTACTGTGGAAACCCAGGCTGTAAATTTTTTATAACCCAAACTCCAGTGTCCCCCTCTCTGTGCTCTATTTCCACTACTTGCTCTCAGCTCTCCCACCCTGGGCTTCTCTGCCTGGATAGCCGGTTTTGGAAACACTCTGCCTGTTCAACTTCTGAACCCTCCCTTGGACACACATTAGGTATTACAACTTCCTCAGCTTCAGGCACTGTGACTGTTGAAAGGAGATTGGAAGAGATGTCTCTCCATGTGAGCCTTGAAGCTGAGTTAGGGCAGAGAGAAGTTGATGAGGCATATGTTGTCTAAGAGGCTGGAGGTGGGCTATGGGGGGGTGCATGGGTCATGGTATCCAGTTAGGAATGGGTGGAACCCAGGGAAGACAGAAAGTGGTTTGAGATGGAGCATCCTGTGGGGGAGAAGGGGAACAGGAGGACAGGAGCGTGGACAGTGTGGAACACTCAGGTTGCTTCTCTGGAGTGGAGGGGCACAGCACCAGGCTTTAGATGTTCCTCCTTGTAGAACAGCAGATTTTCAGGATGTGCACCATGAAACATGCCCAAGGTAGCAGAGGTGAGCCCTAGAGGCAGGTGAACAGAGACCCTCCACCTCCTTCGCCCAGAGTGTAGCTTCACTGGAGAGCAAGCTTTGAGTATCTGAAGGCAGGGGCTGTGATTATTCATCCTGTGTTCCCAGAGCCTGGTGCTGAGTCTGGTGTTTCATAGGCTCTTTGGACTCTCAAGTGAATAAAAGAACAGAGGGAAGGAAGGAAGAAGGATGGTTCAACAGTACAACTTGATAATGAGCTGGAAACTCCAGATGAGTATTGATCAGCTCCTTTCCAGGGTCAGGTAATTGGGGCTCATCCTCCTCTGCACTAGTGATTTTCATGGGCAGGGGATGGGGGGTCACCAGTCATAAGAAAACTCCCTCTTCTGGTCTCCTCTGACTTTGCTGGGTTAGAGAAACTAAGCCAGAGTTCAACAAAATCTCAGTCCAGATAGACGAGACAGAAGAAATCAGATTCAAGAAGAGGACCTTATTTAAAGGAAAGTTGCTCTGTTGTCTGAGACTTTTTGTCCTGCCCACATCTAGTCTCTGAAGTAAATGCATCTTGTTCACTGGCTCATTAGATTTCAAGCGCAAGTCTTGGTCTGTAAAGTGTGCAAACTTAGATTTTTCTTAATGGGTGCACATTTTTTAGTAGGATGAAGCCAGGGGAGCCCAGTGACCTCCACAGGCTCTTCAGAATCTTGGGCGTTACCAGATACACAGGGCCCTTGAGCTTGTTAGACAAAGGCTGATACAAAACAAGTGCATCAAGACAGAATTTAAAAACAGCAGATTAACTAATAGTAACCCAAAGACCAATGCGTCTGTAACCACATTTTTGTTTATTTTTTAGTGTGTTTCCTTCATGGTCTTTCTTGTGGCTCACCCTATGCAGTTTGTGTACTTGTTGAGAGCTTTTTTTTTTTTAATCTGTCTCTGACATTGTTTCTGCTGAACTCAGTTTTTCCGAGACCCTCTCTCCTCATAGGCTCAGTTTTGGCCTGCCAGCCACAGTCCTCCAGTTTCCGTGGTAGAAGAGGCCTAGGCTGCTTCCTGTGGGCCCCCCGCTGGGCAGAAGCATGCAGTGGTATCTCCTCCTGATTTGGGCACAGGGGCTGAGGCAGGCTCCCCTCCCCACCTCAGGTAAGGCCTAGAAATCCAGCCTGGAACTGGAGAAACAGAAGGAGGAAGTAAGTCTGGGAGTGGAAGTGAGGGAAGGAAAGGCATGGTTTTCAGAATCCTGTGGGCCCTCATGTGAGAAAAGGCAGCGTCTGGGAAGCAGGTTCTGTTTTGGGTGGCAGATGGAGGGCTTGGGGTTGGGGTGTCTGACTGGCCAACCCAAGAAAGGAAATGGGGAGAGAAAGGAAACAGGGAGGAGGGATGATCAGTTTGCTTGTAGAAGTTCACTCCCGTTTCATCGTTCTTTCTTCTGTCCTTGAGGAAACTTCTAGAAAGACATTGTACATTTTCTGTGGATCAAAAATGTCTTCTTCACAGATTCCAGAGAGTCTACCATTATAGACTGAATTTACATTAGATATGGTTCCTTCCATAATAAAAATCATAGACATATGTTTCTGAGGGGGGCACAGATATTGAGACACTATATTATAATTTAATTTGTATGTTGTTTTTTTTGAACCATTTGAGGGTAGAGCTGTACCCAGATGATGGGCGGTGGTCAGTGCTGAGGAGAGTGGTTTTGTCTGGGAGAAACAAGTTTCTCTCCAGTCTTCCTTTCCTTTGGATTTTGTGGCTTTCCTGAAGGTTTTTCCAGGCACCTCAAACAGCAGTCAGACAAACAGCAAGGTTTTATTTCAAGGAATAGTGTGCCCAGCGTAGAACTGGCTGCTGGAAGATGAAGTAAAACAAAAGTGGTGGCTGACAGGGCTTATGTTGTAGGTAGGGAGACAAAATAAGTACATGGAAATAATCAAAGAGCTTGTCACGAAGCTAGATTATAGCAGCATATCCTGAGTGGGTGAAGTGTAGTCCATGTGGGGAGTGACAGGATGGACAGGAGACACTGTCATTCCACAGACCAATTCTAGCCTCAAAGCCCTTTAGGATTTCTATAGGAACATTCCAGGACAGCTGTTGACATAGGACTCATGCACATTTTCTCCCCTTCCCTAGGAGCCGTGTCAGGCAGGATAGTAACAATGGGGAACGTTTCTGCAGAGGAAGGTGGCTCTGTCACCTTGCAATGTCGCCTCTCCTCTACCACTGCCAAAGTGACACAGGTCAACTGGGAGCAGCAGGACAAACTTCTGGCCGTTCATCATGCTAACCTGGGGTGGTACCTCTGCCCAGCCTTCAGGGAGCGAGTGGTCCCTGGCCCCAACCTGGGCCTCACCCTGCAGTCGCTGACCAGGAATGATACAGGGGAATACTTTTGTACCTATCACACCTACCCCGATGGGATATACAGAGGGACACTCTTTCTGGAGGTCCTACAAAGCTCAGGTATGCGCTCTGGAACAGGGTGGCTAATGAACTTTCATCCTCCAGAACAGAAGATGTGTTCCTGCTAAACACTGTAAGAACAGGGTCTTTCAACCCTGGTTCACATTCAAATCACCAGGGAGCTTTTAAATGACACTGATGCTGGAGCCGCATCCCAGACCAATTTAATCAGAATCTCTAGGGGCAAAGTTGGGATGTAATAGATTCTAAAAGCATGCCTGGTGATTCAGATGTGCAGCCAGAATTGAGAGCCACTGTTTTGGGTAAGAAGGGCATCTTATATGTGTTGGTTAGGAAGAACACTTATTAAGGTCATTTGGGAAGGGTTCTCATTTATTGGTTTAAGATTAACCAGGCAAATTAGAATTAGCTTCTGGGGCACCTGGGTGGCTCAGTCAGTTAAGTGTCTGACTTTGGCTCAGGTCGTGATCTCACAGTTCATGAGTTTGAGCCCCACTTTGAGCTCTGTGCTAACAGCTCAGAGCCTGGAGCCTGCCTCAGATTCTGTGTCTCCCTCTCTCTCTGCCCCTCCCTAGCTCATGCTGTCTCTCTCTCTCTTTCAAATATAAACATTTAAAAAAATAAAAAGAAAGAATTAACTTCTAAGTTTTTTTTTTTATGTTTATTTATTTTTGAGAGAGAGAGAGAGAGCAGGGGAGGGGCAAAAAGAGAGGGAGACAGAGGATCTGAAGCAGGTTCTGCCCTGACAGCAGAGAGCCCGATGTGGGGCTCAAACTCTCAAACCTCGAAATCATGACCTGAAGTCAGATGCTCAATCGACTGAGCCACTCAGGCGCCCCTAGCTTTTAAGTTTTACAAAGGATTAAAACACAGTGTGTGCTAAATGTAAATACATAATAATTTACCTTTGTATGGTACTTCATAGTTTCCAGAGTGCTCTCACATTCATTATCACCTGAACACTTAAACCAGTTCTCTGCAAAGTGGGAAAAGATTTTTGCATCTGAGAAACAGTATAGCAGAGTGGTGATGAGCTCAGACTATGACACCAGAGAGCCTGGGTCCAAATCTTGGTGCTGCTGTTGACCTCAGACAAGATTACTCAGCTTCTCTGTGCATTGATTTTCTCATCTGTGAAATGAAAATAGATGTAACCTTATGAGGTTCTAACATAGGACTGAATACCATACTACAAGAAAATGCCCTGAAACAAGGCCTGGAATGGGGCGCCTGGGTGGCTCAGTCAGTTAAGCATCCAACTCTTGGTTTCGGCTCAGGTCATGATCTCACGGTTTCGTGGGTTTGGGCTCCGCATTGGGCTCTTCACTGACAGCACTGTGGAACCTGCTTGGGATTCTCTCTCCTTCTCTCTCTGCCCCTCCCCCACTCATGCTGTCTCTGTCTTTCTCAAAATAAATAAATAAACTGAAAAAGAATAAAAGAAAAAACAAGGCCTGGAACATGGTAAGTACTGTTAGCTCTGACTGCCAGCCACTCCCATGTCACTATTTGATGGAGGTGGAGGCTGGGCCTTACAGTTGCTCAAAGCAGTAGAGCTGGTTTTAACACAGATGATCCGGTTCCATTAAATTACACCCTCAGAGCTTCTTGCTTTTTATTTTATTTTATTTTTTATTTGAGAGAGAGAGAGAGAATGAGAATCTTAAGCAGGCTCCGCACTTAGCGTGTAGCCTGACAGGGCTTGATCCCACAACTCCAGAATCATCGCCTGAGCTGAAATCAAGAGTCAGGCCCTCAACCAACAGAGCCACCCAGGTGCCCCTAGACCCTCAGAGCTTCTGCCTGTTACTATCGATTGTGTTGGAGATTAAGCTTTATGAGTTAGCAAAATATGTGTAGACTGAGAAGATAAAAGGCTACTTTAAAGTTCTTTTCAATGCTGCTTCTTGGCTGGCTCTGACATAGGTCAATGCTGCATGTGGGGAAGAGCCTATATCCTTTCTGGTTCTATGCACAGCCCGCCGCAGCCCTCTGCCCCCAGAAGCTGTGTTCTCCATGACTACTTTGCTCCCCATCTGCCCTCTTCCCCTACCTGTGGCCAAAGCAAGAGGCTGAGTCTGCAGTGCAAGAGGAACTCGTCCTGGGGAGCTTGGGCTCCCTCCCCCCTGGTACCATGTGGGTCTATGGGCACTGCCTTGTCCTTAGTGACTGCATTCCTTAGCCACCTTTCCCACAGTGTAAGCCCTTAGAGGGAAGAGGGCCTGCCTCTGCTACACCCTTCTCTCAAAACTTCCCTGCACCCCTGGGATCTGCCCAAGCTCCTAGGAAGGAGGTGGGAATAGGACAAGGCAGCCTGGAAACCCTTCTACCTACAGTACAGCACACATTTGAGCAATTGTTCTGTTTCTCTCTCGCTGTCCTTGGATCAGCTGTCACTCTTTTCAAAACTCCCTTTCTGCTTCTTCTCCTTACACTTTATGTCTTAGTGGAAATTCATTTGTTCATGCTTTAATTCCATATTGCAAATATTTATTAAGCACCTGCTATGTGCCAGGTGCTGAGAAAAAACAGGATAAACCTCCAGAACGTTACTCTCTCCAGGGTCTCACAGATGGAAGAATGTTACAGGTTTAATGTGAAAGGTTATATTCTTTCCCCCCCTCTTTTTTGTGCTTTAATTAATTAATTTTATTTTAATTTTTAATTAAACATTTTTTACTAGTATGATTATAAATGTGAAATTTAAGAAGAATGTTCACTCTCTGGGGTTTTTTTTTCTGGATGTTATTTTTTGTTTCATTTCATGATTAGCATGGAAAGTAATTTTGTCGAATAGAGGAAGGGAGTGTTAACAATGGTCTGCTTTGGTTCCAGAGATTAGCCATTGGTTTTACAGTGAGCCAGGTAGATGCTCTTCCTTTCAAGGAGCTGGGCTTAAAGACTCCAGTCCTATGGTTACAGAAAGACCTGGCCAACCTGCACCTCTGTGCCCTGACACAGAGGCTTCCCTGTGTAATGGCTGCCCTTTGCTTCTGGCTTTCACCCCCCCATCTCCGCTTTGTCGCCCCTCCAGTGGCTGAGCGCAGCGCTGGGTTCCAGATCCCACTGCTTGGAGCCATGGCCATAGTGCTGGCAGTCATCTGCATGGCAGTCATCGTGGTGGTCACATTGACCAGAAAGGTAAAGACTGTGGCTGCACATCTCAGTCATGGCCACTCTGCCCCTGCCACCCTGTCCTTTCATGTCCCCTTCCTGTCCAGAGAGAGACCTTGATGTGCTCTCCCCCGCTGCCCTACATATCTGTTTTACGGTCCTTGCTCTGCCTTTCAGTGAAGTTGTTTATGCTCTTCTTCTGTCCCTTTCCTTGTCTGGGAACTGCAGAAAGCCTGGACCTGTATTCCCCCCCATCTTGCTGTCACCTACAGCTCCTAGTTCTTGCCTGTCCCTGAAGCCACTCCCTAGAGAGTTTGATTTATCTATTGTGAGTTTGCTGTATTTTGGGCATCTACTCGGTACTAGGGACTTTTGTGTGTTAGCTTATGTAATTCTAACAACCTTCTGTGGTGTTGGGCTACTCAGCAGTTCTACAGGATGAGAAATAAACATTCCCCAAATTTAGGGGAAAAAGGTACATGGCAAGATCAGTAGGCTATACATCTTCTTTTGCTCTAGCTTAAGAGGTCATGCAGCTGAAAGAGTGGTGGATGGGGAAGTAGATGATGTCGTGTCTGAGCTCAGCATTGAGGGTGATTACAGGGAAAGCTGTGGAGTCTCCCGGGTCTCCATTTCCTCATCCAGAAAGTGGGGATGATGGTGATTCTACTTGCTCTGTATTACAGAGCTGTGATGAACAGGTGGCACAGTACCTGTGACAGCCTTGTAAACAACGAAGAATTAGATGAATGTGCTTGTGTTGTAAACTGGTAGCTACTGATTAGGATGAATGAAAGAATTTCTGCTCCCTGTTTTGTCTGCCCTTTTGGACTTTTAAAGCCATCCCAGGTCGCCTTAATTTCAGTTACCAAACATTTGGGGGAAAGCAAGTCTGTGATTGCCAACATCGTTTTCCACCTCATCCTAGACCCTGCTCCCTTGTTCCTGATTCACTTTCCCCCCAAACTGGGTTCGGCTCAGTGAACAACCCCATCTCTTCATCCCTGACATTTCTTTCTCTGGACCATGTGCTTGGTGCTGTTATTACTGATATATGTGGGTTTACAGGTACCACCTTATTTTCTTCATATATGTTTTGCCTGTTTTTTCCCCTACTCTTTCTTGCTGTCTTTTGAATTAAGTACTTACTATTATAAAAAGATCTATTTGGTAATTATGCTAGATTTGCTATTCTTTTAGTGGTTACAGTAAATATTACAAATCATACCCCTGACTTATTCAAGTACAGTATAAATTAGTGCTTTAATCATGTCTTGGATTTTGCAAGAATCTTAGGGCGCATTAACTCTTTTTTACCTACTTTCCCAACTTATTGCTATTATTACCATGTGTTTTAGTTTTATATATATTTTAGACCCTGCAAGAAATTAGTATTGTTTTTAGAGTCACTATTCACTTAGATTTACCCTTTCTGTTGCTCTTTACTTCTTCCTGCATTTCCTGTCTTGTACCTAGGATCATTTTCCTTCTGTCTGAATAATATTGCTTATATTTCCTTTTGTGTAGGTGATGAATTATCTTGGTTTTTTTTTTGTCTGAAAATATTTTTAATTTTTCCTTAATTGAAAAATGATATATTTGTTTTGCTGGGTATACAATTCTATGTTGGCAGTTACTTTCTTTCAGGACATGGAAAACATTTTCCATTGTCTCTGACTTCCCATATTTCTGTTGAGAAACTATGGGAATCTTATTTTTGCTCCTTTGAAGATATGGCTTTTTCTTCTCATTCCTTTAAAAACTTTCTTTCTCTTTGATTTTCAGCAATTGTACAGTGATATAATTAGATACAGCTGGGAACATGTAGTACTCTCAAGGCGGGTGGCTTGAAGACAGTTTAAAACAGACAGTTACGAAGTACTGGGCAGCATTAAGGAAACCATTAGGAGAAGTGTAGCAGTGTATTGTCACCCCTAGTCTTTAAGGGAAAGGGGAGAAGGTGATTACTAGAACCTGGAAAGGGAGAGATATGTGGAGGGGACCAGCTTGAGAAGTACTGTAATCTTTGATTGAAGGTTATAGCCAGTCTAAGGCAACTATGCAGAGAGAATGCCAGGGGAATATATATATATATACCCTCACCTCACTCTCCTTGCCTTCATCCTCTACTGTTGCTCTGCATTGGTTGAGCCCAAACCCAAGCCTGAGGGCAAGGAAGCCTGCTGATGCAGTACACATAGTTCCGTCTTCTTAGGAAACAGAATCAGGTGCAGAAGGCTGGAGAGCAGAGTTGGCGGGTGAACGGATGGTATCCACCCTTGCTGCTCACAGACCTGGAAACTGGGCAAGAGATTTTGACTTTCCAGGGGCGGGTTGCTGGTCTCAGCCTTCTCTCATGTATTCTTGATCTCTCGTCCATAGATAAGCAACACCCCTCCCTGTTGGTTGTCCATCCATATTTATCTTAGGAACACTGTGCTTTATTAGCCATCTTAATATCCTGGTGGGTCAGACTGCCATTGCAGTAACTACATCCACTTTGTTTCTTAAGTGCTACCATCTGCCCCTATGTCACTTTGGGGTCTCCTCATTCCTATTGCTACTAGGGATCCAGGTCTATAAAAGCATTCAGCCCCAGCCTACAGAGGAGAGATACCACTGAGGTTCCCAATGATGCTGGTGCTTTCTTCACTAGCACATTCTTTTTCACCTTTGTAAAAGAGTGTCCTCTGGATCTTCCCTAGAAACATAATCAGCTATTGGATTTTCACAATTATGTAGTACAGGGATCGACCAAATTTATCTGTAAAGGGCCAGGTAGTAAATCTTTTAGACTTTGTGGGCTATACGGTCTCTGTTGCAACAGTTCAACTCTGCCATTGCAGCATGAAAGCACCACAGACAATATGTAAATGGATGAGTATGGCTGTGTGCCAACAAACCTTTATTTATAAACACTGAAATTTGAATTTCATATAATTTTCATGTGTCATGAAATATTATTTTTCTTTTGAATTTGTTTTCAACCACTTAAAAATATAAAAATCATTTTTAGCTCACGGGCAGTACAAAAATCTGTGGTAGGCCAGATTTGAGCCATGGGCCTTAGTTTGCCAATCCCTGATTTAGTAGGTTATATTGGGGAAAACTCTGTTTTTTTCTTCTTCTCTACTCTTAACACTGCACAGAACACTTCTAAACAACAGATGGGTGGGTTTATTCCCACACTGACCAATTCTTCTATACCATCTGGGTGTCCTACAATCAATTCAGTTCTGACACTATCTACTTGGAGTTAACATCAGAACCCACACATTAAAGGCTCAGTCCTACAGGACTGCCCTCACTTTCAGACACCAACTGCAAGTCCCAGACTGTCACCTGTACTTCTGACTGACCAACTATAAATTGAAGTTTCTATAACCCCCTCCTTGGATTTGATAATTTGTTGACCGCTCACAGAACTCAGAGGAACACTGACTCTCATTTACTGGTTTGTTATATAATAAAGAATATGATAAAGGATACAGATGAATAGCCAGATGAGAGAGATACACAGGATGAGGTCAGTAAGGGTCCAAGCACAAGAGTATCTGTCCCTGGAGAGCTGGGGGGTGTTACCCTCCTGGCATGTGGATATTTTTAGAAAACTGGAAGCTCTTTGAACTCCATACTTGTGGGATTTTTATGGAGACTTCATCATGTAAGCAAAATTGATTATTAGCTCATGTTCCAGTCCCTCTACTTTTTCTGCAGAATGGGGGGTGGGGATAAAAGTTCCAAGCTTCTAATCATGGCTTGGTCTTTCTAGTGACCAGCCTCCATCCTGGAGCCCACCCAATGTCACCTCATTGGAACAAAGACACTCCTATCACCAGGAAATTCCAAGCCATTTAGGAGTCCTGTGTAAAACATTCCTATCACTCAGCAAATTATAAGAGTTTAAGGAGCATTGTGTCAGGAACTGGGGTTAAAGACTAAATATTAGTAGAAACTGAGGATAGAGACCAATATATATATGTTCCTTATGATTTTACATACGTCCATCATTGCATCCTACTTGTCTGAGGGTTTGGGTTCTTTCTTCCTTAGTTTGCCAAAGTGGTGTTGGTATCTCTCTTGACAGCGGTGTATTAGTATTGTCTCCCAGAGTCCTTGTGAGGGTGTTATATCGTAAGTCACGAGATGTGTCCCAATATTGGCCAGTCTCATAGTTTGCTTGCCCAGCATGGCCCTTCGCTCTGAGAATTCACTCCCAGACATGTTCTCCCATTGCTGCCGGTACATGTTGGCCGTGTCCTTTAGGTATAACCTCTCTCCTCCTTAAGCATTCCTGGCATTCCCTCAGGTACTGTAGGCTGCAGTCTTGCCCTAAATATGGGGCTGATGGCCTGTAGGGGACACAGGTCCTAACAGGGCCATAACTTCCATCAAGGAGAAGTGGGCCATTTTTGTAGCTCCATAGGATACAAGAGAAGCAGGTGGTTCTCAGTGAGCCTACCCAGAGATCCTCTTCCCAAGTCATAGATATCTCTCCTTTTCTAAGCATAAGAGACTTGCACAAGCTTACAATCCAGCCTACTTTGAAGTTCTATCTCTCTTACAGTTAGGTCCTGTGCCTGGTCTTCAGTGCCAGAGATGTGTTTTTCTTGAAATGCTATCAAGAAGGAGCTTTGACTCTTCACACTTTGCTTCCAGGTGCTGAGAGATCTGAGCCTGTCAGGCTCCCCGCTCCATGTACTGGGGAGAATTTAGTAAAAACTACCCAATCCCGCAGTTTGAATAACCACTCTTTTTCCATACTTCGCAAATGTCAGTGATGTGGCACCAGCTCAGATTCCCCTTCCATCTGTGTCCCATCCCATTCCACCACCACCAGTGGGGTTCGTATTCCCATCCAGCTGGGGAGGGATCCCTCCACAATACCATCCTGTGTCTGCTTCTAGGGCCATTTCCAGGAGCAACTGTTTTGGATCAGATCCCCATAAATAGATCCTGACATATGAATTTTGGTGAGAGTGATTTACTGGGATGGACTCTCAGGTGAAGAAGGGTAGTGAAGGAGTAGCTGGATAGGGCCAAGGGCAGAAAGCTCAGCCAGACTTTGTCTCAGCTGGAGACTTGACTGCAGCAAGAATTAATTGTATGCAAAGTTGGCTGTACCTTGAGGCAGGGAGCCAGATTTTTGAAAACCCACCTTAGTCAACCCCCAATTCCATATGCTAACCAGAGAGGGCAGGACCCAACCACCATTCCCCAGAGAAGGGGCAGCTGTGAGCTGCCCACAGCCCATACTCTCAGTGTCTGGGGAATGGGATCCCTGGTCTAGCAGGTAGGATCTGAGCAGGGTGCCAACAGCGTTCCTTATAGACCCGGAGAGCCCATTGGTTGCATTATTTAGGAGCGTGGATTTTGGAATCAGGCAGACCTAGCTTTGGATCCTGGCTGTACCACTTCAGTAGCTATGGTAATATCTATAAAGTGGGAATAATTATGATGCAGCTCTCATAGCGTTGTGGGAAAACATCAGTCAAGTAATTCATGTAAGGCACTTGGCATTTTTCCCGGCATGTATTAATAAGTATTAGTTATTAAGTTCTTGTAATTATTATAGATTTTATTTACCGTGGCACTTTATAATACTTGGTACTCAAAAATATTGATATTGCATGGATGTATTATGACTAAATGAATGGATATTTTTTGCTAAGCAGGTATTGCAAAGAGTTTCCCTAGGGGATCTTCTGTGAGGGAAAAGAGAGATGGCTGTGTCCAGCTCCATAACACTGACTACCCACTGTCTGTCCTCCTCACATCTCCCAGGGGGCAGTGTTTGTCCTCATAGGACCCAGCTGCAGTCTCCCTTCTTGCTCCTATAGGACCACTTCAGCCCCAGGCTTGTTTTTTGTACTGGCAATGACAGAGCCCCGATACACAGGGATTAAATGAAAACTGAGCAGCTGAGAGACCCATCTCAGGAATGTTTACATTTCCCGGAAGACTTTGGAAGCCAAAATTGTCAAGATTCCAGAGCAAGGGTGGCCAGTCTAAGAGTGGAAATGAGAACACACCAGCACCAAAGGTCACCATCAGTTCTTTGAGAAAGAATTGGATATTTATATGTTTGAAATGGATTGGGTTGCATCAAGGGATGTAGCACTCTTTTAGCACAGCATCAGCATGACCAATGATGACCCCTTTTCTTCATACCTATGGTAAGGGTGCAGCCATTGCATTGAAAAGGAATGAATGAAACAGTGAGTGGGAAGAGACCACCTGACTCCTGTGTGTCCTTCTAAGACCATGGCTTCTATCTAGGCCAAGTTCCTCAGGCCTGCAGTGTAGTGCCACCCCTAATATTTGATATTTGTTCATGGTGTACATCCGTGCAGCCTATCCACCCTTCCCGTTAGCCTATATGCGTGCACCGCTGAGCTCACACTAGCCAGTAAGGATGCTATTTCCTCTCCTGGGAAGTAGTAGATGATGGGAAGAATGGGATTTGGTTTTGTGTTTGTTGTTATTTTCCAAGCCTGTGTGTGGCTTTTTGTAATTCTGTCATCCAGACCCATGGACGCACCCCATGGTGGGAGTGAGTGACATACTTTAGAGCAGAGTCTCCAGTAAGACTGAGAGGGTGTCACCTCTGCAGTTGATGCCATTAGGTGTTTCTTCTGCCATCCTGCTTGTGCCTACTGGTCTTTGATTTCCTTGGCTTAGCACAATCTTCACCTGTGATGCTCTCATATGGGGGCAATGGCTACCTCATACCCTTTGTTTTCCCAAACAGATTTCACTGTCTGTTCTATTTTCCCATAATAGCAATTGTAGCTGTCTGACTATGAGTCCCTTTGATTTGGAAAATCCTGTTCTTTTAGGTATGGGCTGAGGAAGAGTGTGTGTGTGTGTGTGTGTGTGTGTGTGTGTGTGTGTGTGCACATGCCTGTGCACGCACATGCATGTGTGAACACACACTTTTCAGTCCCAAAACATATATTGAATGTCTGTTATGGGCTCTGAGGTTACAAAGAGGAATACAGCATAGATCCTTCCCTCAGGGAGCCCACAGTTTGGAGAAGTAAGAGGGGTAAACAGGTAAGTTCTAGACAGCATTGCATGTTACAACAGAGAACATCTAGAGAACAGGAAGAATGTCACTCTCACAGAAGGTCAGGGAAGGCTTCTTGGACAATGTGCTATGGAGCTGAGTCTGGAGGAAAGAGTAGACAACTTTTTGGAGATCATATAAAAAGTTGGGGGAGGCAGAAAACAGTGCATGGCATTCGAGAAGCAATAAGATGAGAGGCAGCCTGGCTGAGGAGAAAGAGCATGGCCTGGACCCAAGTCAGAACGGGGATTGTCCTTGGGTAAGTGGCTTCACCTGTCTGCATATGAGCTCATTCTAAAGCAGAAACTTCAGTAGGGTTGTTGCTGAGATGACATGAAGAAGCTAGCCAGTACGTGCTCATAACAGCTTCTGAATAAATGCTCCCTGCCTGACACCCAGGCCGTATGCCAGGAGCTGGAGTGTTGAGTGGGGATGCACCACAGGTGATGAAGCTGCAAAGGTGAGTGTGACCAAATCACCAAAGGTGTTTTGGGGGGCATCACACACAATCTTCTGCAGGGAATGTAGTGAAATTATGGACTAACCTACGGTGTTTTACAAACCCCTTGACATCCACCTGCAGCCCCTCTAGGAGATTAAGCACCCTTCAGTAGGCAAGGGGAGCCATCCAAGGGCTTTAGGCAGAAGCATGGTGTGATCCAACTTCCAGTTCTAAATTACCACTGTGCTGGTGGCCATGTGAAAGTTGGACCAGAAGAAAGAGGGAGTTCAGAGGTAGGCGGGTGCTGGAAGCACAGGGCGAGATAAGACGTGGGGGTAGGAATAGAGAAGAGGGAAGTGATTTCAGAGGGACTTAGGAATAAATTGGTTGGGAATTTATGGCCGATTGGAATTTAACATTAGGCTTCTGGTCATCTGGTGCTGTGAACCAGGAAAGAGAACATAGGGACAGGAGCAGGTTGTCGGGGAGGGAACATGATTGTCTCATTTGAGACAGAGTGAGTCTGAGCTTGCTGTGACTGGCCATTGGGTGGTCTGGAGTTTGGGGCTGGAGCCCAGGGTAATTTGGGTAGAGATCTGGGAATGTTCAGAGGGCAGATGGTATTTGTAGAGGTCCATATACATGAGGTGACTCAGAGAGAGTGTTCAGAGTGAGAAAAAAGAGGGCAGAGCTTGGGGAGTCCCTTTATTTGGGGAGCTAATGTGTGAGCAGGAGAAAAGCAGGTCCGGCTGAAGGTGAAGGTGGGAGTTTGCAGGAGGAGGAGAACCGGGAGAGAGTGATATTGTGGGAGCCAGGGAAAGAGAACGTTTCCAAAAGGAAGAGGTCAGCAGTGTCAGAGGCAGTAAAGAGAACAAGAGAATTGAGACAGAAAGCTGCTTCACGGGGTGTGGGGCTCACTGCATGTGGAACAAGGGTGGTTTCACTGGAGTAGTTAGTACTGAAATCTAGCTGCGATGAGGCTGAGAAATTAAGGGTTAAGGAATTGGTATTGGTAAGAACACAACTTTGCTTGTGTGCGTGTGTGTGTGTGTGTGTGTGTGTGTGTGTAAGAAAGGAAGAGAGAGATGATTGTAACTATGTATCATGTTGGGGAATAACTTCTGAATGACATCCCCTCCTCCTCACTTTGTAGTTTGTTTGTTTTCAGAAGAAATCTCTCAGAGCCCATTCTTCGGAAAGTGGCCTCAGGAGAATGCCTCGTGAACAGGAGGGATGGAGTGCCGGCGTTCTGTCATCTGCTGGAAGCTGCATCCAGGCAGAGGCTGTGCCCGTGGTCTTCTGCACAGAGCGGAGGGGAGATGACTGTGCCGAGCCACATGAATACTTCAACGTCTTGAGTTACAGGAGCCTTGGAAGCTTCAGCTTCCCAGAAGAGACCAGTTAGCTCCCAGAGGCATCGTCTGGGAGATACACTCCTGTCTCTGCTATTACAGGTGGATGATGTACAAGGGTCTGCAGTCTCCATTATTGCTGCGTGTGTGGGTGTGTATGTTCAGTTGAGTGAATGAATGTCATTCTCTTCTCCACATCTCCTCTGCCTTTCCCTTCCCTGGTGGCAGACCCAGAGTGAACAGCTTGTATCTTGATTATGAATGCAAAGTTAAAAAAAAAAAAATAACTTGACCTGGTTTGAGCGGATCTTATGGCTCTGAGAAATGCATTCCCAACAGGAGCACTGGGCAGGGCTTTGGGCTGTAGTTTTGTGATGGATGATGATGATGATATGATCATCTCATTTGTCATGGTCATTTTCATCAACATTCACACATTCAAGGCATTTTATGAACAAGGCATGACATGGGCATGGGCTTCCATGGGGCGATTTGGGCATGACTAACCCACCCTCTCAGGTCTCAGCCTTTACAAACCTTAAAGTTAAATGGGGTGATGACATTTGCATTAAAGGTAGTAAGAAGACAGGGAGACAAGACATGCGTCTTTGGGAAGAGATGTGGTACAGGCTGAGGTGGTCAGGATAGGCTTTGTCTGGGGCAAAGTCCTGGGAAGATGGAAGGAACAGTGAGGCTTATGTGGTCAGAGCAGGAATTTTGTCCAGGGAGGTCAGAGAAACCAAACAGAACTACTGAAATTCCCACATGGAAGATCCTGGCACCAAGGGAGCCAACAGGGCTTCAGATTTTACTCCCTGAGAAGCTAATTCAAGTCTCCTTTTGCTGGGTGTGCTTGGAGTCCAGGGATGGGCTGCAGCAGGGGACCCCAGGTCTTCCAGCTGCCCGCTGGGGGGGCTGCAGCTTAGCCCCTGGCCAGGATCCACCTTTTCTCTGTCAACCCACCACGGAGCCTGTGAGGAAAGAATCTGTGTCCACCAAAAGGAAAACCTGGATTTTTAAAACAGGGACTCTTCCTAGGGGGGGAGAAAAAAGAGTGATTGAGGGTTTAAAAATGAACACCCTCCCACTAGCTGCTCTGAACCCTTAAATTCACCCTCTGACCTCTTTGTGCTGGGCTTTGGGTGGCATCTAAGTGCGAGTTTCTGTTTAGCTGATAATCAGGCCTTTATCCTGCCATCACCTCTCTTATAGGATTGAGGAGGAATGCTGGGCACGGAGGTGACAGATTTTCTTTCATGGGCACAGGAAATGAGAGAGGATGTGAAGCAAGGCTGTCATTTGCCAACAGCTGAAGTGAAGTATTGCTCTGCTCCCTAAGTAGGCAGGCTGAGCAAGAAGAAAATTCAACTCCTACTCCTTGGATTTGTATTTTTATTTTTCTCGCTTCTCTACCAAATAGGTATGTACTTAGGAGCAACGAGCCCAAATCTGTCCGGAGTGCTGAGTCCTTTGGAAGACAGACAGATGCATGTCAAATGCTGTTCTGGGCCATGGCAGCCCAGCACATTCTTCTTGCCGAACTAGTGCAAACGGCTTGGGAGTAGAATACCATTCACGAATTGGAAATGAACTAAAACGTACTGACAAAAGGGAGCTACAGTTTGCTTTGGAGGAGACATATATTGAGGTCAAGGCTGGACTGAGTGTTGGGTGTTATTTAACATGATTATAGTGACAGGGAAATATCTACAAATACCATTTGGATGGAGATAAAAATACAAAAGAACCCATAGATGCTATAAATGGGCCAGGTTGCTAAAATGAGATTGAATTAGAAAATAAATTTTCAAGTGGAATTCACTGAACTAGATTTTCCTTGGAGAACCAGAGAAGACAATTCCCTAAAAGCCAGATTCCTGGACAGGTGTCCTGTCCGGTGCGGTAGCCGTTCTCCACAGGTAGCTGTTGAGCAGGTGAGATGTCATAGTCTGAATTGAGATGTACTGTGCTGTAAGTGTAAAATGCACACTAGATTTTTTTTTTTTAACGTTTATTTATTTTTTGGGGACAGAGAGAGACAGAGCATGAACGGGGGAGGGGCAGAGAGAGAGGGAGACACAGAATCGGAAACAGGCTCCAGGCTCTGAGCCATCAGCCCAGAGCCCGACGCGGGGCTCGAACTCCCCGACCGCGAGATCGTGACCTGGCTGAAGTCGGACGCTTAACCGACTGCGCCACCCAGGCGCCCCATGCACACTAGATTTTGAAGGCTGGTTGTGTGTAATAAAAACAGAAACTATCACGTTAGTAATCTAAACATATTGATGACATGTCAGAATGATAGGATTTTGGATATTTTGGTTTAAAATATGCTATTAAAATTAATTTCACCTGTTTCTTTTTAATTTCTTAATATGGCTACCAGAAAATCTAAAATTGCATATGTGGCTCCCATTATATCTTGATTGGGCCATGCAGCACTAGACTCTGGACCTGAGCACAGCTGGTACCAGGGAAGGGTGTCCATCAATGATTGGTGGTCTCTCTCTTTTGCTCTCATTCAACATAGGGTTTGAGGAGACTTTCTCCTCTTATTATGTCTTTTGAGAAACACATAGGAGAGGATTATAGGGGAGATGGAGTTAGGAGATTATTAAGTGCAGACAGGAAGTGGTCCTAAGCTCTCTTGGATCCCCTCTTGGATTTCATGATAGGAGAAGGGAAGATAAATGAATTAAAGAATGAGAGTTTGGGGAAGAATAAATGTACTGGCTCCCGACCCTTAGAATTACTCCACATTCTAAGCCTGGGCACGTACAGTCTGATCTCTAATCCAAAGAACTATCCTGAGCAAATATGAGAAATTTTGAGTCATAGAGCTTTGAGGTAGGTGATCTTCATGAGTAGATAGAGTTTTCTCATGCAGTTTTATTTCATGACTCATTCCTTCTCACCTGTCAGCCCCTGGGGATGAATCATCACGCACTTAGGTTCATACGGATTCCATCAGTGCTGAAGCTAGACAGACAGGGTGGCTGTGTGCTGTGTGCAAATGGCAGCATTCTGGTGGGCACGCCGTCCCCATAAGGCAGAGGGAAGCAGCAGCATGGCTGTGGCTGCCAGCTGGGGGATGTGAATTTGGTTCCATCTTCTGGGTCTTCCCAGTGCTGCTTCAGGGCTGTAACTAGTAAATTTCTGCATCCACTCCAAAGTACACCTGTCAAGAGGCTCAGAGGAGCCTTATGTGTGCAAGAGCCTGAGCTTTCAGGAAGTCAAAATTATGAACTTCAATGTTTGATAGAATTTTTTTGCAGAAGGTAGAGTCTAGGACAGTACTATCCAGTAGAACTTTCTTTGATGATAGAAATGTTTTGCATCTGTACCATTCAGTGTGGCAACCACTAGCCACACATTGCTATTGAGCACTTGAAATAAGGCTAATGTGACTACAGAACTGAATTTTAAATTTTATTTCATTTTAATTAACTTTATCTATTTATTTATTTATTTATTTATTTATTTATTCATTCATGAGAGAGGGAGAGAGAAGATGTGTGTGAGTTGGGGAAGGGCAGAGGGAGCGAGAGAATCTCAAGCAGGCTCTATACCCAGCGCAGAGCCTGACGTGGGGCTCGACCTCATGACCCTGAGACTATGACCTGAACTGAAATCAAGAGTTGGATGCTTAACTGACTGAGCCCCCCCCAAAGTGCCCCGTCAGTTAATTTAGACATCACAATTCTAGTAAGTCTCTTGCATGTGGAGAAAACACAGAAGTATGTTTATAAGCCATTGGATGGGTCTACAGATGCTATGCATGTGGAAGGGCTCCCACCAGGAATAAGCATGGAGGTCCTCTTCCATTCTCCTGTGGACTTTCTTTGATAAAAACAAAGCATGAGGTGAAAAGCAGGCTGTGCATTTGTTTATTTCAGACTCTTCCTCAAAAGGTATCTGAGGTAGCCAAGGGGTTGTGTTCATTTAAGCAGGGCTACGGTCCTCTAAAGGTTTGCAAGTCATAGGTGTTATGCAGGAATAGACATGCATCACAGGATTTGCCCTGGACTACAGTCATTCTGACTTTATGTCAGAATGTTGTGAAGAGGGGCGCCTGGGTGGCGCAGTCGGTTAAGCGTCCGACTTCAGCCAGGTCAGATCTCGCGGTCCGTGAGTTCGAGCCCCGCGTCGGGCTCTGGGCTGATGGCTCAGAGCCTGGAGCCTGTTTCCGATTCTGTGTCTCCCTCTCTCTCTGCCCCTCGCCCGTTCATGCTCTGTCTCTCTCTGTCCCAAAAATAAATAAACGTTGAAAAAAAAAATTTTTTTAAAAAAAAGAATGTTGTGAAGAATACATCCTCTGGTGCTAGAAGTCTAGTTGATTTTACAGAGATCAGAAGAGAAGTACCTAGGGTGTGTTGTGGACTGGAAGGGGTGGGGGCACCCGGTTAAGTGCTAAGTGCTGATACTGAGCTTTATGGCATTTGATAAGCCACTTAACCTCCTGATCTTCATTATAAATGTTTCCTTATTTGTAAAATGGTGATAATAATATCTACTTCTTAAGGCTCTTGGGAAGATGAACAAAATGTGGTTGAGTCTTTGTAAGCTATAAAATGCAGAATTAATGTTATCATTATTGTGCCTGGCACTGCTTATGATGCCACAGAGGTCCCCGAAGGGGCATCAGACCTTGTTGGGAGCAACCAGGGTATCTCGAATTATCAAACTCTTAAAAACTGGGATGTAAGGAATGCTAAGAGTTGCAGATATATCTGTGGGATCTGCAAGTTCTCTGTAAGTATTTTAAAATTTTGTGTTTGAAGTGAGACAAACTTTTAAAAAGTCAAACATATCTTGGATAATGATGACTTTTTAAAACAAGGTATTGTTGTTGCCTTCAGTTTCCATATTTGTGTTTACAGTTAAGTTGATTTCAAGACATGGAAGCTTAACTCATAGATGATCCATTTACTCCAGGAGGGTGGACTGGTGGGAGATTTTGCAGTAGTTGAAATAGTAGGAAAATGGTGGGAAAGCTGTTTTCACTCTGTGTGCAGTATGGATGCCACCCGCAGAGGGACATGGGACAGAGCAGGCAGTCCACCTCACTTTGTGAGCGGCAAAACATCACCCAGTATATTAAATTCATAGCTATTTTAAATTATTAAAATTAATAATCCATCAAGATGCTGCTACGGTTCACAAAACTCATGTAAGGGCAAACCAGGCATCATGAAATATTTTCTTTTTCTTTATTTTCTATTGCCTAGAGTATCAGGAGAACTTAGGGATTCAGTGATTGAGTTGCAAGAACATAGTATTTTAATTCACAGAGGTCACCTTTCAGCCCAGAGTTCTCCTTAAGACCCTTCCCCCATCCCACACCCCTGCCTAGGCATCTGTATTCCTCATACTGGTGGAGATGTCCGTCCACACTCACTTCCTCCAACCCAAAGTCTGAAAATCCCTGGGAGTCCCCAAACTTGACTGCTTATTGCTTGGACCCTTCCCTGGCATGGCCCAGCCCATAGATCTTTCTCTTAGTTTATCAACTTCCATGGCACTGACAGTCTGAATGGTACAACCTAGCTCTTGATTTTATATGAATCTTTCTTTCTGGTTGTTAGATTCTAAGGTTTACCAGGGCTAAAGTAATTTTCTTCATTTCCTTCATAAACAGCACAATGTTGAATGCAATGTAGATGCTTACTGATGACTTGGTGAATCTACTTCAGTTGGGTTGACCTCCCTAGGTACAAACAAGACGTATGTTTTCTCCATCACACCAGTAATTTCTGTGAGGACCATGAGATTCGAGAGTCCTTGTGGGTAAAGCTGCACATGAGAAAGGGACTATGGAGCAAATAGCCTCTTATGGGGTTTCAAAGCCATCAAATGGGGGCATATTTTGAGCCACCAGCTTTCCTTGGATACATGGATAGAAGGGCATACTGTCCTACAGTTATTTCCACAGGAGGCAGATAGATACTGATGTGCACACAGGAAGGGGGGAAAAAAGGTGAATCAATTTAGACAGGGGTAAATGAGCCACATGATCACGTGTGCATTTTGGACAGGAAAAGAAGATGCCCAAATTTGCCTTATGTAGCCTCAAAGTGATATCAATACACCAACCCTGGGATTCTTACATCTTGTATCAAGAGGACTGATGTGTTTAGAACTTCTCTGGCCTTTCAGGCATAATCCTCACTTTTGATAATCTCCAACCAGACCTAGACCACGGGGTATGAGAGAATGTGAAGAACTGCCTGAAACAGAAACCCTGCCACAGTACAAAGAAGACGCAATGGGAAACCCAGAGAAGAGTTGTTTTTTTTTTTTTTTTTTAATTATTCCTTCATATTCAAACTTCACAAACAGTGTGAACTTGTACAATACCTCGGAAAGTGAAACTTACAAAAAAAGTGCTGGTAACATTTAAAAAAAAACAACAAAAACCCCAAAAAACAAACATCATTCTTAGCAACATCAATTACTCTTCCACACAAAACAGAAACCTTGTAAAATTTATTTTCGTATTTTTAAGGCGTAATACTTCCGTATAAAGTATATGCAAGAGATAAAACTTCACAGTATTCCAAAATGTCACAATAATAATAATAATATAATAGTA